AAAACCTCTTCCAGAGTGCTCAGGACCTCAGACTGGGCCGAAGGTTCACCTTCCAACAAGACAATGACCCTAAGCACACAGCTAAAATAACCAAGGAGTGGCTTTGGAACAACTCTGTGACCATTCTTGACTGGCCCAGCCAGAGCCCTGACCTAAACCCAATTGAGCATCTCTGGAGAGACCTGAAAATGGCTGTACACCAACATTCACCATCCAACCTGACGGAACTGGAGAGGATCTGCAAGGAAGAATGGCAGAGGATCCCCAAATCCAGGTGTGAAAAACTTGTTGCATCATTCCCAAGAAGACTCATGGCTGTACTAGCTCAAAAGGGTGCTTCTACTCAATACTGAGCAAAGGGTCTGAATACTTATGACCATGTGATATTTCAGTTTTTCTTTTTTATTAAAATTTGCAAAAATTCTACATTTCTGATTTTTTTCTGTCAAGATGGGGTGCTGAGTGAACATTCATGAGAAATAAAATGAACTTTTTTGATTTTAGCAAATGGCTGCAATGAAACAAAGAGTGACAAATTTAAAGGGGTCTGAATACTTTCCGTACCCACTGTAGTATGTCTCAGTGTACACTCTACTGGTATCTTCTCTGCATCAGGAATACTGCTAAAGATACTAATGTGACTGTTGTTTATCTGAATGTCATATCTGATCTTCAGTAAAAACCAATGGAATGTTCAAACCACAGTCATCTTTTCTAGGCATGCTCAGAACCTACATTGTGCAACAACATCACTGCAACATTTATGTGTTTTCAGACTTGGACTATTTAAAGCTTTAGAACAAACTCTTTACATTTTTTGTGGCTGTGCAAAAACATCAAACACACCTGTTTTATATGTCACACTAAAAACTAAAGGGTTTCTCTCTGGGATTTCACATATTCAAGGACAGATAATGTCAAATGAACGCCAAAGGACAAAATTTGTGTTACAAAAAACCCTTTGAGAAGAATTGTGATTAAGGAAGAGATCTTTTTGTACGCAGTCATGTAGGACGGCCGTAATGAAGTTGGTACGAGCCGTCTGTCATTTATGTAATCCATCCTGGATGTGAGTAGGTCTTTGTTTTAGCTACAGCAAAAGCTGCTTCTCTTGTTTCCTTCTGAAACATTTAACAGCATCAGATCTGACGTTTGACCAGAACCGTCCAAATACTGCCATACCAAAAAAAAAAAAAACAGTTTGAAAATGAAGTTTTCTCAATTAACTTAAATGTTTTAACACAACACAACAAATGAAGGAGAAACTGTGTTTAATTCATATCGACTGCACAGATCTCAAATATGAATATAAACCTCACATTTGCAGCTTCAGACACAGACACTAAAAATTAAAAAAGCATTTAAGAAATAACCCTTGGAATAAAACATTTTGGTCAAAACCTAAACATCTGCATGATGAACAATGAGGAATACATTGAAACTGAGTTCTGTAAATTTACATATATGGAATTTGTAAATGTATCCACACAACATATTTTAAAATGGGACAGAAAGAAAGTTGATGAACTAAAAAGTTCATATATAACATTTATACATCATTTGATGGCCAGATGATGTAGAAAGTATCAACCAGAGACCGGGCTGGAGCTTTGCACATTTTGTTTTAGTTTTATTAGTATTTCTGTTTCATTTTATCTCTATAGTTTGCATCTTGACCTTTGGTTTAATGTGATGTTACCTGTACATAACAGAACGGCCCAGTTCTCTAACACAGCTCTCTTTATCAAACTGACTGACTTATTTCTCTTTTCCCACACAATTACCTAACTGTGTCAAAGGACACCTGACCCTTACATGAACATGTGCTGTTTAGCATAGGTTTTCTGTGTCACAGCTGAAGGAAAGAAAGAACCAGAAATTCATGTTGTTACACTTGAAGTTAAAAAAATGTTTATAAAAAGATGACCATTAGAAAATTACTGAAATTATTCTTTAGGATTGTAATACACATGTCGGTCAAATGTAAACATGTATTTTTGACTGACAGGTCCATTATTTGACTCCACCCCCTTAGCTCCCTACTTATCATTTAATGCTGTGTTTCTTTGACTGTTGTCAAGGAGCCAGTAAGTGGGTGGTGTGTGTGTGTTGTGAGTCAGATGCAGAAAACAAAAACTGTCCTCAGTCAACGGTGGAGGATAGAGATCAGCAGAAATGCCTCCGAAAAGAAAAAACAATGCTGGTGTTGGAGTTGAAGATGGTGAGAAGATTTATTCTATTTTTATGACTTTATTTCTAACCATGAGAATGCATTAAAAAATATAATTTTATTTCTTTTAGTTTAAAGTTTTGAATTTTAGACTTAATCATGTTTTTATTTAACTTGAAAGCACAACAATTAATTACTACTTTAATTAGAATTGAAATTAAATCAAAGGCTTTTTTTTGTTTTCATGTAGTTTGACTTCAGACTTAATTGTTTATATAAACAAAAATGCCTCTTCATTTTATTTGATCAATTCATATTTTAGTATGACTTCCATATTTTTACACTTAAAAAGTATCTATTTAATTGTTTTTGTTAATTATTGTTGTACATAAATTTAGTAAACTTTTTGTAACATTTTCATACTTCTTACCCTAATTTACAGTTAGTTTTTTTTTATCCTAATCATGCAGTTCATCTTATTTATATCTAAATTATTGGAGGTTTTCTTTTTTATTTGAATAATTTAAGTATTTTTTTAAAATATATATTCAGTGGTTGCTCAGCTTTTTAATTCTGTTTCTCTCTCCTGTTCAGTTGGGATGGATGTGGATGCAGAAGTTGACAGTGGAAGTGAAGGTCAGTCACTTATATGCTATTTAGGCCACATAAATGTCATGTCAGCAAAGAGCAACACTAGCCAGAACAAAGTCAAAATGGCTGAGCCACAGTTGTCATCAAACTTAAAAGATTGTCTTTTTAATGTCTTTTAATTACTTTTTTTTTCTGATTGGATGGATACATAATTTTCAGAGGAGGCTAGGAAGCGAAGTAAAAACAGAAGAACCAAACCTCAACGAAGGCCCAAACCTGCAAGTGAAGATGAAGACGATGATGAGGATGAAGCTCCAAGAAGGAAAGGGCGGAGGAAGAAGAAGGCCAGAGACAGTGATGAGGATGAGGAAGACAAGCGCAGTGTGAAGAGCAAAGGATCCAAAGCCTCAAGGAAAAAAGGGGCAAAGGCAGAAAGTGATGAAGAGAGTGAGGAAGAGCGAGGGAAGAAAAAAAAAGGAGGCAAAGCCACATCCAAGAAAGACAAGGAGGAGCAGAATAAGAAAGGAAATGGAAAGGGAAAGGGAAATGGAAAGGATAAAGATGGAGACAAAGACAAAAAGAAGAAGGGGAAGAATAACAGGTGCAGTATTCTGTGACTCACCTACATGCTCCACAAACACCACTGTATACGCAACTGCACTGAAACGGCTTCTCCCACTGATCTCCCACAAGTTTTGTGAACCAACCTGGAACCAGGAAACTGACTGAAAGGGACAGAAAAAAAATATGATTTTAGCCACTGAAAATCTACCTCAAAATAACTCTCATGTTACCTCTACAATACCTCAGGAATGTGTTTACATAAGCAACCGTTGATCAATCTTCCACACCAAAGATCATAGAGAATCAATGGAGCTGTTAGTCCACTGCTGCCTCATGTGGTCAATTTAAACTTAAAACTTAAACTTATCTTTATTAGTCATTGTGACACAGCACAGCACACCATGCACAACGAAATTTACCCTCTGCATTTAACCCATCACCAAAGTGAACAGTGGGCAGCCATGGTCGGCGCCCGGGGAGCAGTGCTTGAGGACGATGCCATGCTCAGTGTATCTCAGTGGCAACCTGGCAGTTGGTGGATTCGAACCTGGGGCCTTCCGGACCGAAGTCCGCCTCCTTCACCACTAGGCCACCACTGCCCCTAAATTTGTGTCCAGGAATTCAATTCAGTTGAAGTGTTTCAAATACCAAAATCAGTAATATTTAAATTAGTGATAACTGGACTCCACTCCACTGTGCTACTGAGTAAAAGCTTAATTTTCTTTATTGACTTTGGTGTGGCTGGGTGAACGATTAACAAACTCAAAAACAAATAGCATCACCAAATTCACTAAGAACAGCCCCAGTTTATTTCACTTATAATGCCACAGTTACTGAGTGGCAGCTGTTAGCTTGCAGCCAATGGTAGATGCACATTTACATATATACAGTATTAGTTTGGTCAAAGTGACATGAATGACATTTACTTATTTTATCAAGACATGTGTACAAACGTTTCCTAATCATTTCATTAACTGTTGCTACATTTATTGACATTATTTTGCCTTTATTGTATTCATGGTGACTAGCCAAAGATTCAGCCTCAAACATGATTAGCTTCTACAAAATAACAGAAGCAAAAGGTTCAGCCATATCTGTAGTTTTAAAAAAAATAATGCTTACAATAGCTTAGTTTTATACACAATTACTCATATTTAAACATTTTGGAGTTAGCTTCTTTAACATTATCCTAAATGTTGCAACACAGCCACAGCCCATAGTATGTTTAGCTAGAAAATGCTACCATTAGCCAGACATTTAGCTGTCAACTATGAAAAGTAGCAGGTTTACACTACCTCAAAGGCATACAGTTAAGGTAATTTACATATTTCCTCAGGACAGTTATGTGTCTGGATTTAGGGATGTTCTCTCAATGTCCTCTTTGTAGTAAAAAAAAAAAGAAATTCTGATGAGCTGAGCTCAGGGTTTTGGATTTAGCCGTTGATAATGCCCAAATGTGAGCTCCTGTAGTCTTTTGTCAAAGCCCTGATCGGTGACAGCTCTTTTCCTTCACCAGCTCCTCCTCTGACTCCAACCAGTCGGACGAGGACTCAATGTCAGAAGGAGAGCTTGCAACACTGAAGGAGGAGGTGGAGGAGAAGAAAAAGCTAATAGCCACACTGAGGAACAAACCTTGGCGAATGAAGAAAAGACTCCTCCTACTCAAGTAAAATCGAGTGCAATGACTCACATGCTATTGGGTGTTTCCTGGCTGTTTCCTTTTTCCCTCAACTGCTATTCATACCTACCATCACATATGTTGTGTACATGTGATGTTGAGCGTGTAAAATTAAAACAAATGACTAATGTTTTGTTCGTTGTTTGCCATCTCTCTTTGTCACATCTGTGACAGTCTCTCTGTCATCGTTAAACAGTTATCAAAGTTTTTGATCATTAGCCGTTACTACTGCATTACTTAACAGAAGCTCATTTGCATAACAGTTTATACAAGAGGAAGTTAAGAAAGAAAGAAAAAGAAATGGAAGCACATTTTAAAAACCACTGTTAATATTATAGTAATCTACCTGGACGATTTTCAAAGATTCTTATAAAAATGTCTTCCATTTCTAACGTCTTCCCATTTCGTTTTGTGCACTTTTTATGCAATTTGCCAACCTACTATAACTCTGGCCATCCTGTGGTGTGAGCTTCAGTTTAGAAAGTAACTAGTTGTGATTAGAGTCAGAGACAAGGCTTTGGGTAAGCAAAAGACTGAGAGTTAATTAAATGGCCAGAGAAAACACAAGCACAGGAAGCTAAGTTAACCTTTTATTTGAATCTGTCTTTCAGTTTTGAGCAAAGCTGCTAGAAAAACAACAACAACAACAAGGCATTAGTTTCACCAGTGTTTTGAAATGGTACTGTTTATACACAGTACTGTCCCTTTGCTTTTAGTTTAGAATTCATGTGGCGTCCGTAATAGAACATTTTTGGTACTGTTCTGAGTTCCAGATGTAGATGCTGTGGTGGAAAAATGCATTGTTGTTGGTGTTGAGCCTTGCACTACTAGTACCTGCTGTTGAAATGCAATTAGTTCCTTACTCTGCCTCTAACGTCTGTTACTTAGAGTGGAAAGGTTCGTAATAATGATCAGTTCTGAAGCGTCTCAGTTTCTGTTTACAGAGAAGCTCAAGAGTTCGTGGAAAAGTTTGAAGGAGCTCTAGGAAAAGGAAAAAACAGAAAGCTCTACGCCTTCAAGGTCATGATGACGAAGGTAACATTGTCCACACAAGTGCAAAGTTAACATTTTTACAAAGCAGATCATATTAACAAAACTGTCCTTTGGATCTGCTTTTTTTTTCTCAGAAACTGATCAAATTCAACCGTGACTTTGAAAACTTTAAAACTGCCTTTATACCATGGGAGCGGAAAATCAAGGACGTAGAAAGTCAGTGTCTGGAATATTTTTCTGATAATAACTTTTCTAATGAGAATAATGGTGCCTCGGTTTATTAAGTTTCTCTTTTTTTTTCTTTTTTTTTAACAACAGGCCACTTTGGATCGTCCGTGGCTTCTTATTTCATCTTTCTGCGGTGGATGTATGGTCTGAACATGGTTTTGTTTGGGTTCATGTTTGGCCTGGTGGTTTTACCTGAGGTTTGTGTTTCTTAACTCATTACCCACTGTTATAAAGTTAATCAATCATACAGGCCTGATTTTCTTTTTCTTTAATTTTCTTGTCAGATCCTGATGGGTCTTCCTTATGGCTCCATTCCCAGAAAAACTGTACCCAGGGAAGAGCAGGCCACAGCTATGGACTACTCCGTACTTTTTGACTTTGGTGTGAGGATCTTGGACTAAGTGAAAATATATTCATTCTTAATTAACTGAAGATTAATCTTCTCGTGCATTTGTCCTGAGGATCTATACAAACGGACGGTTCTGTGTTTGTGTGAACCCACAGGGTTACTGTAAGTACTCCTTCTTGTTCTACGGGTTCTACGACCACAAGCGGACAATCGGAGTGTTGAAGTTTAGGCTGCCTTTGTCCTACCTGCTCGTGGGTGTTGGGATCTTCGGATACAGCCTAATGGTTGTCATTAGAACGTAGGCAAGGCTCTTAGATGTACAGTACCAGTTGTGTAGAAGGGAGTCCATGGCTGTTTTACTGTGTGTTTGTGTTTTTTCAGAATGGCCAGTAACGCAAATGAGGGTGGAGATGGTGCAGAAGATGGAGAGTTCACCTTCAGCTGGAAGATGTTCACCAGTTGGGACTATTTAATAGGAAACCCAGAGACTGCAGACAACAAGTATGCTTCCATCACCACCAGCTTCAAGGTGAGTGTTTATGTGTCTATTTATACTAGAACCCAAATACAAGGATTCCAGCTCTGAAACCCAGTACAAAGCTTTGAGTAGAAATCAGATGTTCAGGTATCTAATGATACCTATGCCAAGATAACAACAAATAACCATCTACTAGGTCCTATAACCAGCTAACAACCTCCAAGCTGATTGAATATGTCGTAAAAATTGCTATCCTGCTAGTCCTAAAAACCAAACTAACAAACCGTAATAAATTCTTGAACTTGACTAAAACAAAATAAAATACCATGATAATAATCTAATCGATCACAGAACAACAAGCTCGTTAGATTGAAGAATGTAATCATCTCACCGTGTACACTCTCTGCAAATTGGGTTTTCCCTAGGTAATTTGCATCAACGCCTATCTGCATGAGATTCAAATAGCGTAAAAAAAAAACACAAACTAAAATTTGACATGAATGTAAGAGCCACAAGAAACTGGGCAAAGAGCCGCATGTGGCTCCCGAGGCGCAGGTTGGCCCTGCCTGCTCTACAGCATATGTGTCAAACTCAAGGCCTGCAGTCCAAATGCCATTCGCCAAGTCCATGCTACAGAGTTTCTTAACTTGATTTTTTTTATTACATGGAGCAATTTACAACATTTGTATCTTGAATAAATAATAATCAATTGCAGAAACATGTACTAATATGTTATGGAGTAGTTATAGCTGTATTTCTGATGTGCCCCCTTTCCCCCTCCCTCCCCCCGATGAAAATGACTTTGACGCCCCTGTTCTACAGGAATCAATCGTAGATGAGCAGGAGAACCAAAAAGATGAGAACATCCATCTGAGGCGGTTTCTGAGGGTCCTGGCAAACTTCATGATCTTGTGCTGCCTCGGTGGGAGTGGATACCTTATCTACTTTGTGGTGAAACGCTCCCAGGTGTTTGCTGAGAAGGATGATGCTGAACTATCCTGGTTTGAGAAAAATGAGGTAAGTTTTTTTTTTTTTCAAAAAAGTTTTTTTAATAAGTTGTTTTGTCTTGAAAAAGTGCGCAAATTAAATGTGTCAGTGTTTTGACTAAAATTATGTCCTTAATGGTTTAAGGTGGAGTTTGTGATGTCACTGCTGGGACTGGTGTGTCCTCCTTTGTTTGAAACCATAGCTGAGTTGGAGGATTACCACCCTCGTATTGCCCTGAAGTGGCAGCTGGGTCGAATCTTCGCTCTCTTTCTAGGAAACCTGTATACCTTCCTCTTCGCCCTGTTTGACGAAGTCAATGCCAAGGTATGATATATATATATAATGTCAGGCTGTTATGTATGAAGACAGCAGGACTGAGAACTTATGAGTATTGTGTATTTGTACCTTTGCACTATACACTTTGAATTTTATTATATTATTATAAGGGGTTTTTTCATGGTAATGACACTCTAGCATCAAAAATTAGACCAGTGTGTTTCAACCTTGGGGTTGCATCCCCATGTGGCGTCACCTGAAATTCAAATTGGGTCACCAGAAAAGTCTAGAAATTTATATTATAAACTAATTATTATTGTTTTAAAATAATGATTACAATGGTGTATTCATATGAAGTACAGTTACTAATCTTATCTATGGACATTGGTTTAAGACAGTGCATCTCAAGTAGTGGGGCCGAACCCCCCTGAGTGGCTGCAATGTGGTGCTGGGGGGGCGTGAGGAGCTTCCAATGGAATATGGCACGCTGTAATGCTTAAATGATGTGAAGCCTAGTGAGGCCTCCAGTCACTAGGTGGCAGCAACTCATACAGTGGTTTGTACAGATAAAAATATGCATGTTATCAGGTTCTCAATAGTATTTCAATTTGGGGGGGAGAGTGGGAGGATGGGTGAAGATGAGAAAACATTTCTGTCCCCAAGGGGGAGCATGACTGAATCTTCCTTCAGTCCAACAGGATGTTTTTTTTTAAGGTTGTTAATCTGAACTGTTTTTTATCCTTGTTGTCAGTTGGACAGAGAGAAGATTATCAAGAACAATACAGAGTGGCTGATGAATCAGTACATCATGAACTACAGCTATTACTTCAACACCACTGATGTTCCACCACCAAATGTGGACCCAGCTGATGTCATCAGAGGACCCTGCTGGGAGACTGGTGTCGGAATAGTCAGTCATCGTCTTTTTTATTATTTGTGCTTTTTTTTATAATCATTGTTTGTGTGAAATACTTTCTTTCTCTTGATGTTCTTTTTAATAGTGTCTCTTTATGGCATTTTTTTACCTCCATTTTCCTGTTCTTACAGTATATTAATTTAATTTTCCCATTTCCTTATGTTTGGTTTTGAATGTATAACAACTCAGCTTGTTACTCCCCACACACTTAAATAATTTATGTTCTTCCCTCTTCCATTTTCTTGCAGGAATTTGTTAAACTCATTGTGTCAGACATGCAGGTGACCTATCTAACCATTCTGATTGGTGACTTCCTGAGAGCCGTTATCGTACGCTTCCTCAACTACTGCTGGTGCTGGGACCTGGAGGCTGGATTTGTGAGTAAAAATCGCACTTTGCACCAGTGGCTGAGAGTTTGTAGGTTGAAGATTCCGGACTTTGATACAAGGAGTACACAGTTAACCTGAAAACTGTGTTTGATTATTTAAGTCAACCTGACACCAGGCAATGGCATGGGGACGGACAGGTGACTGCCTTTCTGAGTGAAAGAGGAGACTGCGGAGTGAGTGTAATTACAGAGGAAGCGAGAGAGGAAGGGGGAGAGAGAAGGACAGACAGAGAGAGGAACAAAGACAGAGAGCAGGAAGACAGAAACTCAAACAAAACTGGCAGGACAGACACACTGCCAGATGGGTTTTATCCAGAGTTGTTTACAAATAGACCCCAATCTTAAAGGATCCACAAAAGACATGGATCAACTATCAACCAATTATTTACCTCTGTAAAAAAGGTTCTTCAATATGTGTCAATAAGACCACTGTTCTAAGAACAGCAGTGACAGAGTCTTTAATTTCCCAGCATTTAATGGAGGAACCAAATTTGCGAAAGCGGTGTAAAGTACTTTTTGGTAATGCACACTTGATGTTGTCGTTTGTTTTGTTTCAGCCTTCATATGGAGAGTTTGACATCAGTGGAAATGTGCTTGGACTTGTCTTTAACCAAGGAATGATCTGGTGAGTTCCATCACTTCCTCGGTTCCTACTGGTTTATGTCAGTTAAAAGCCCTTTGTGATTTCTTTTGTTAGGATGGGGGCGTTTTACGCTCCAGGTCTGGTCGGGTTGAACGTTCTGCGTCTGTTGACCTCCATGTATTACCAGTGCTGGGCTGTGATGTCCTGTAATGTCCCCCACGAACGAGTTTTCAAGGCCTCACGCTCTAATAACTTCTACATGGGCCTGTTGCTGCTGGTGCTCTTCCTCAGTTTGCTGCCTGTCATTTACACCATCATGACTTTACCTCCGTCCTTCGACTGTGGACCGTTCAGGTCAGTCAAGTCTAATTTACTATCTTTATCTATAGCTTGGCATATATGTATGTAAGTTAGATTTCTGGACAGTTTTTTTAATCTATAATGACATAACATTAATGTAACTTCTGTCTAGTATTGTCTCCAATTTGATTAACTCTATTTTAGTTTGACTAAAATAAAGTTAAACTAAAATAAGTTTAACTTTATTCACATTCACATTCTTTATAGCACATTCTGTAAAGAATGTGTTTCTAGTAAATGTTAGTGTTCGTAAATAATTGACATTATGTTTTCCGTCATGCAGCGGTCAGGAAAAAATGTATGATGTGGTGATGGAGACCATAGAACGGGAACTGCCTTCTTTCATAAGGAACATTTTCACATACGCCACCAACCCTGGACTCATCATGCCTGGTGTTCTACTCATGGTGTAAGGATATTTTCTTTATGTCAAACAGCGAGCAGTGATAAATGTTAAACTGAAACAAAGTAACTATTTCATAGGTACGCAGGTAGAGCTTTGTATGGATAATGCAGGAGTGAATAAATTAAAAAAGAAACCTCACCCAAACCATTCACAGAGACCACATCTGTAACTGTTGAGATTCTTTGTTGTATTGTATGCATCCACAGGCTAGCGCTGTACTACTTGAATGCAGTGTCTAAAGGATACCAGCAGGCGAACAACGATCTAAAAAGGAAGATGCAAATGGTCTGTATACGTGTGTGACATTCCTGTTTCTTCCACTTACAAATACATTTGATTCTGTGAGATTCACCTAAAGATAAAAAATGAATTTCAGGCTCGGGACGAGGAGAAGAACCGCAGGAACAACAAGGACAGCACCAACCAGGTGATGAAGGACCTCGAGGATCTGCTACCAAACAAGTCACTCATTCCACCACCCACTGAGGAGGAGGAGCCACCAGTACCTGGTACTGTCACCCAGACCTGTGATAATTCAGTGTACCTGTCATCTATGTGGTTCCATGGTATAATGGTTAGCACTCTTTAAATCCACTGATCTGAGTTGAAATCTCCACCAGTTCTTCTGTTGGTTCAATATTGTAGCAGAAATCACTTCTGCCTTACATACAGAAGGTCCTGGGTTCGAACCCCATAGAAATCACATACGTAATGGCGCTTGCTTTGTGGCAGCTAGTGAGTTGCAACCACATACATAATGGAACCGCCTGTGGCAGCCTGTGTGGGTTACCAAGGCTCACACTGTGAATTTCCCCACTGTGGGACAAACAAAGGACTTACATTTACAGTTGACTGATTTTACACCTGCCCACGAACTTCAGCAAAATCTTCTTTTTCTTTTCTTCTCAGAAGTTGTTGTAGACAAAGGAGGCAAGTCTCCTAAATCCAAAAAAGACAGGGACGGAGGAAAGGGAGTAAATTTGCAAAAGGACGTCTCTCTGGCTGCAGAGAACCCCAGAGGTCCAGTGACCAAGCCCCCGGGCCCAAGAGGGGGACCTCAGTCTGGACCAGGTCGAGGCAGAGGAAGAGGGCGGGGTCGACCTCAGGACTAACACGTAAAAAAAAATCACATGTACCACATGTGTCGATTAAGTGGAATGTCTTTATTTTCTTATGTCTTAAAACTATAAAGGCACTAGTATGTATATATATATATGTATATATATATATATATATATATATATATATACATATACATATACATATACATATACATATATATATATACATATTAATGTATATATATATATATATATATGTATGTATATGTATATATGTATGTGTATACATGTATGTATAGGATGACATGTTGAAAAACATGCGTTCTATAAACCTCTGTCAATATAAACAGTGATGACCAAATTCTACCAACAATGTGACACTAAATTTAAAGCTACAGTATATTTTTGCATATTTCCTTTAAAAAGGTTACAAATAAATAAATGTGTGAAACACATACATCTATCTGCTGTTATATGCATTGGTGTTCCAGCAATACATAGTGTTTTTTTTTTTTATTAATCATGATTAATGTGACGAACGGTGATCATGATCTATCATGATTAATTGTGATTTATCTAGAGCCACCCTGTGATTAACCAAATTATTATCAAGTAATCATTGAAAAGTCAGAAACTGCTGCTGCTGTGTTAGGAGGTTAGGGTTACGAGTAGTCCTTTAGCCGTTGTAGTAGAGTTAGCAGGTTAGGGATTAGTGGTTTTAGGGATAGTTTAAAGAAAGTGGTTTAGTTTTCTGCTGAAGTGGTAACACAAAATAACAGGCTCCACCTGAAGGCCTCCTCCAGAGAGTTTGTGTTCTTGGGTCATATTGATCACAGCTGTGGAAACAACCTCCCTCCCGTGATGTGATTTTTCTTGAATTAATACTAAATTATTTAAATAATAAAATATTTATTTATGTTATTTACTTTGTTCATTTATTTGTAAATATTCCTTAGATCTTCTTCAACCACAGGAAAGAAAATACTGTCAGCTGTCTACAGATGGAGCTGGAGTTGTAGGACCTTTCCATATAGAATTCTGTTTTTACTTTTTTAGATGTTGTTTTAATAAATGTTTACAAATCCTCTGTATGTCAACTGTATTAGGACTGAGAGGGTTATGTAAACTGTATAAATTGTGGAAAAACAAAATTAGAATACGAGTCAACACCCATTCTCACTGTAGGAACATTTTATTGTAAAGCAATTTAAGACATGTAACATTTTAACCACCTTAGCGCTAGAAGCAACTGGTGCTGCATTCATGTGGTGTTGGAATGATCGAAAAAATTACTTTGCAACTAGGTAAAACTTCACATAGCTCACCTGATCTGTTTCCTTGTCTTTTATTGTCCATAAACACTGTGAACAGTCACCAAACTGTTATATTCTGTGAACATTAAAACACAACTGGTCTTCTTTGTATCAACCGTGTTTTTCATATGAAAAGTTTCTCACACAAATTGTGGAAAATATGTTATTAATTCAGAGGGATTTGTTCACGTGACGCTTTAGCCCAGAGGCAGTGTCTCTGTCACTGGTGTGGAACCCCAGGGTTCACCTCCTGGGCAAGATCGAATCCTGATTAAGGCGGTTGGTACCTTCCAGTGGACTCACCACCTGTAGGAACGCTCAGGGGCGGTTGGTACAGTGCAGTGTGATTTGGGTGGTGGTCATGGAGACTGCTGCCCCCGCGACCCGGTAACGGATAAGTGGATGAAAATGGATGGATGGAAGATTTGTTCACCAGCAATACAAAACAAACAAATGTGCCCTCTACAGGTCAACTCTAGCAACTACAGCCTTTCTATCCAGGTTTATTTAACTGTAATATTTTAAATGGGATTACATTTTTGGGACCTAACTATCATACACTATCACAGATAAAGTAACACAACAAACACGTCAAACATCCTCCCCATCCTCCAGGGTCTGTCCTGACTTCAGCTTTACGATCATCTGTCAGAAAGCAAAAAATAAATGGGAATTAGATAATCATTCCTGGGTCAGTGTTCAACTGAACATAACTGAGGTCAAACCTCCTTCAGGTGAGCAATCTCTTTGCTCTCCACGTTCCTCTGAGCGATGTTGGTGATGTTCTTCACTCTTGTTGCATAGCTGTAAAAACCAGGATCAATTTATATCAACATCAAATAGTTGTTGTTTTTTTAATCTGAATGATGTTGTTGAATGAGAGACAGATTTGTACTGTGTCTCGAATGACAGACATGACAGACCATGTAGTGTTGAAATTAAAATTGCAATGGCATCATTGTTTGTTTTCTTACCAAAGAGAAGTAAGCGTCTCATCCAGATTGCATCCAGAAGGTGAAACATTTACGATCATGAGGGTTTTAGCGTTGCCGCCCAAGGAGTCACGCATCACCTGAAACATAGAGAGCAAGATAAGGTCAGACCTGGCTGAGCCACTTAATACAATAACTAGGACAGTACTCTTGATGGAACGAGAGCCCCCACTTTGAGCAATATGTGCAAAATGCACGACTGATGCAGCTCACTGCTGCACAACTTTTTATGGTGGTCTACTGGGGGATTCTCAAGAGCCACAGCTGTTATTTTATGGAGTTGATATAATACACATGTTTCGCCACGATTGTGCATACTAGTAATAATACAAATAATAATGATAATAATCGTGACAATAATAATAAAAAAGACAGGAATTGTAATCATTGCAGTATTTTGTCATTGTATTAATAGTGTTCGCATTTACTGCTATTTAACTTATTCATTTCTTTGTTTTGTGTTTTTGAGGATTTCTTTTTTCTTTAATTTCATTCTTTAGTATAGGCACTTCTTGCTTAGGGCCCTTGTTTGGCTAGGAGAGGCCCTGCTCACAAGCACACAGGAGCTGCTCTACTGCTGCCTCAGTCTGTGTCGCTGAGGTAAATAAACCAAGCGTTTCAAACACTGAAGTTTTATCTCAGGCTAAATCAACCTTAAAGTTTAAACCATACATTTCCTAGAATCTTGGATTATTTTCTTGTCTCCTTCTGTGGTTACCTGGGTCAGTTTGCTGTTCCTGTAGGGCACGTGAGGCAGTTCAGCAGACAGAGCTGAGATCACGTCACCCAGAGCACTCAGAGACTTGTTGATGAAGTTGGCCTCCTGTAAGGTGAGCATTTACAACATTATTATTATTATTATTATTATTATTATTATTATTATTATTATTATTATTATTATTATTATTATTATTATTATTATTATTATTATTATTATTATTATTATTATTATTATTATTATTATTATTATTATTATTATTATTATTATTATTATTATTATTATTATTATTATTATTATTATTATAATAATTATTATTATTATTATTATTAATATTATTTGTTAATTAGCTTCACCTTCAGCTGATGGTCTTTGGCTCCAGTCTTGGCTGCTCTTTCACTTCCTGCTAGATCCACCAGACTCACTTTTCCGCTGCTCACACTGCCATTGGTCAGATTCCTACTCTCCACTGTGATTCCTACGATGAGGTGGGAACGAGAGCTTTCCACGTTCATTTCTGTGGAAAAACACAACCCATTAGAAAAGGACTAAGCCACTTTATGGCTAACATGGGTTTTTTTTCTGCCTTTTCCTATTTCTAGGCTAACCAGGTTAGACCCCAGTATGTTTTAGGTGAACTTTTTGACACTATTTTAGAACCTCTCACTCTGCACAAGACAAAGAGCACAGTAGAGTTCCACAAAGAGAACTCACTAGTGGCAGAGATGTGTCTGTTGGCACACGCCTGTTTAAAAAGAGCGTAAAGTTCACGAGCGTTGGAAACATCCTTCTTCTCTGCTCCCTGTGCAAAAACTACCCCCTTCCGGTTCCTCTTAATTTCCACCCGGTGCGCTGCTGCCTGGAACTGTTGAGACTCAGCGGCAGAAGACCCAGCCGCAGTGGTCGGGGTCACCAGTAGGTCCTGCAGTCTGTCGTTGTAAAGCTCCAGCATGTAGGTGGAAACCTGGAGTAAGGTTAGAGACAATAGTACAGACCAGGACACAGACCAGGACATGGTATTAGTGAAGGCTCAAATCCAGATCCAGATAAAATCATACTTTTTCTTTTCTTTTTACCCGATATTCAAATTTGTTTCTGTTCTCAGTGATGATGTCAAATATGGCATTAAAAGTTCTGGGCATGATCCCAGGATTCTTCTGGTCTTTGTCTCCAACCATGGTGAAGGTCTTTCCTGATCCCGTCTGTCCGTAAGCAAAGATGCAGACATTGTAGCCGTCGATAGCTGACTGGATCAGTCTGTGGAAGAGGAAACAGAGAGTTAACAGCTGAACTGAACTGAAATCAGTTCAAATAAGAAGAGACAATTAAACTTTAAATAATCATTCATAACACACTTCAAAATATATATATATATAATTATATATATATATATATAACTGGTGAATTTCTAAGGACACAAAAAATATTTTTTACATGATGCGTTTTACCGAATGAATGAATCGACCAATAAACCAAATGGTAGAACCAGTAATATACTAAAAAACGAATACTGTATCTGTACCCAGGGGTTTGGGGGTGGGATATTTTCCTGTCACTGTAACTGTGTTTTTGTTAGTTTCTCTCACCTGCTCATGTCCAGGAACAAATCTGTTTGCGAAGCTTCAGAACTGAAAACTCTGTCGAACTGGAACTCTCTGTCTCCTCGGCTCGTCTCCACTTTTACAGAAAACTCGTCTACTTTTTCCACAACCACAGTTTCACTCTGAGCCGACTCAGTGCGACTGGCAGGACGAATTCGACAGAACACTCGAATTTTACCTGGAAAAAAAATGATTAAAAAACAAAACAAAACAAAACAATTCCAACATTTTGTTTCACAAGTGACATTGCAGCAGCTTTTAGTGAAAATGTGTCAACCTTTCATTTCCTCCACCATGTTATAAAGCTTTTTCCTCATTGTTCTCTCTGAAGTGTAGTTTTCAATGATTTTCTTATTTTCTTCTTTTAACTGCTTCAACTGGTGACAGACAAAAGATGGAAGTTAATTTTTTTTTTTAAATCTGTTAAATGATTCTTGAATTTAGGTCATTATTCTATTGTATTTTTTGTTTATTCTTTTTAATAAGTGGCTTTTACAAATGTCATTACAAAGACAGTGTTTAACTTTAAAAATGAATTACATTTACTGTATATATACATATTATTTGTACTACTTTTTATTGATGTGTGTTGTTTGAAATGTTTCCTTATCTCATCACAACAATAAACACATCCCTATAAAATGATTTAAACAATTATCCACATTAACATTTTCTGTGATTTCATGTAACATTTATCTAATTTTATAACATTTTAGGACATGTCAGAAACATTGACAGCTTTATTTCCTTTAATATTTAATAAACTAATTTGTGAGACAAACCTGGTCCTGCATGAAGATCAGCTGCTGTCCAACGCTCTTCACATCCTCTGAGCTGTGGACTAAGGCTGTGCCTGAAACATTTTCCAACTCTGATCCCACATCACAGTCTTATATAATTTAAAAAAAAAGTTCAGGTCAAAACTTTGTGTTTGTAAAAATTGAATAATTGCAATAATTAAGTTTAAAGAAAATTATAACCGTTATTTATAAGCGGACTTTTTCCACTTTTGATGGCGTGTAGAGCCGTCCAGCAAAGTTCACACTCTCTGACTTTGTCCTGCAGCGAAGACAGAGTGAACTCAGGGTCCACAGACCTGAAACCAGACCAAAACTGAATTATGACATCACCTTCGACCACTGATAAAAGCATGACTTGAACATTCTGTGTCACAATTATGCTGAAAATAAATGATCATATCATAGCATCAGAAATATGTATAAAGAAAATAATTATGGAACTGAATCATTAGAAAAGAATTACACGTCGGCTGTCTCATCTTCTCCGTCCTCTATCTTCATCTGTAAATGCATCAGTTTGTCTCTGGCCTCTTTGAGAGCAGCACAGTTCTCCTCCATCATCTGATCCAGGACCAGTCTGGACTCGTCCAGCGTTCTGCAGACCACATGAGCCTGAAATATGCAGACTTTCATTTTTAGAATAGGGACTGCAGAAAACCAGGACCAAGTCCTAGGTAACAGCATACTAATAAATGGACTTATGAAACAACACAAAGAAAATTAAGAGAACTTATGTCCTCCTTTAAAAAGTTAAAAAAGTCAGGACCTTTTGGACGACAGAGTTCAGTATCAGACTGCAGGACGGCTGAGGGAAGAGAGGAACCAGGTTTCTGTCCGACCCCAGCAGATCAGTGATTTCTCTCTCTCTTTGATACAAACTCTCCTTCAGTTCCTCCAGACGCGCTTTTGCTCCCTCCAGTGGCAGATCCGGAGCACTGCGATTCTGTAAGATGAAGTCGGTAAAAAAGAGCGTTGAATAGCTCATAATTCTATTTGGCCCCCAACTTAGACTTTATTGGTCTGAATACTATTGTTTATTTACTGCAAATACTTTGTCTTTGTTTATCTACGTGACAGTTACTAAATAATCTTAGACTATGTGGCAAGAGATGGCTATAAAAACTAAAAAAGAAAAAAGAGAGAGATATTTAGAGCCTGAAGATATTCCTTTATGTCTTTCTTCAAGTCCTGCAAGGAAATAAAGGTTGTGTTCAACTAAACAGGCCAAGGTTTAATAATGAGTAAATTGTGAGTTAATTGCCTACACATTGTCCTTTTTCACAATTAGTCTGCTAACTGACAATCTTTCTCTCACACACGTTTGCGCGCGCGCGCGCAGACACACACACACCGCAGTCTGTGGATTTTCCTCTTCTTGTTCTTGTGACTCTTCCTGCTGTGGCGATGCTGTCAGCATTTCCTGGACATTTCCTATTTCCTGTCGGGCTAGCAACAGTTCCTGCAGAGCTGTTTACAATAACGGAGCTTTATTGATCTATTGATACGTGATGTTTGATTGGTTATGAGAGCTTATGGGAAGTGTGCACTTGGACTTACTGGAAGTCTGATGGATGTGCAGCAGGTCCAGTCTGTTGGAGAACGATTCCAGCATTTTACTCTTAAATAAAATGAGACTGAGAATCATTTTTTTTATACTGTATTACATCCAGGAGAGGACACTGCAACGCATGACATCATAGAATGGTAACGTTCTGCTGTCCAACCTTCTCCCTCTGCCATTGCACAGCCACCTCTCTGCTCCTGCTCCTCTCAGCTCTCAGCTCCTCCTGCAGCTGCTCGTTCAGAGCTGTCAGTGCCTGAAACAAGATCAACTGATGGCGTTAAGCTTCAAGAAGCTGCAAGAGAAATACTACTAATAGGAGGCTAACAGATACTGACAGTGACTCTCTTCTCCAAGTCAATGTTTCTCTTCTCCACCTTCTCCTGATAGATGTCCAGGATTGTCTTGATCAGGTTCAGCTTTTTCTGGTAATGAGATCTGATCTTCAGAACGGTCTTTTTCTGAGTCAAACACAAACACATATTTGTCTGTGTGTGTGTGTGTGCAAGCGCCCTGACACAGTAAACATGTGGTTTAAGACCCTTGTACATAAGTCACTAAACCAGGGGTCTCCAACCTTCTCTTCTGAAATCACACACTTGTTTTTCTCCCACTGTGATCCTGAAGTTGGCCTCCAGCTCCTGAATCATCTCCAGGTGTCTCCTCTTCATAGCCTCCATGTCATCTGTGATCTGTGGAGACAAAAACATGTAGACCTTACCTTTATGGAGAGCACATCTTAACAGTACCAAGTCTCGGTTCTGACCTGACTGATGCAGACTTCTGCTGAGTCATACGGGATGTAGATCTTGTCAGGATTGTGGAGTTTCTCCACAGCAGCTGCCTGATCTGCGTCACTGCTATTTGACAGCTGCGATTCTGAAGAACCTGGAACAAGTGTTATGTTTTAACAGTCGATGTGACTGTGCTGTCAGATTTACTATACAGTACTGTATATACAGAGAAGATAACTGTGGTATTTCAGCCTCCACTGTCACACAGAAACTGATACAGTCCCACAATGATCTGAAATCATTTAGTACATGCTTGGTTGGGTTTTGATGCAGGATTCTTCCTCCAACGCTGACATATCCAGCGCCTGAACATGTTCCACCTCTTCATCCACAGGGTTTCATGAAAAACAGCAGCTTCAAGGATAAAAAAGACAACGTCCAAGGACATTTGGGTTAACTTCTGTTGTGTTATGGAAAGTGCCTGTTAAAAGGTTAGGATTCTTTTTTAAAAACAGCACAAACACCAAGTGATCATGGATGTAATATATAAAGACTTATTTATTGTATAATATATACAATATTAAGAATGTCTTAAATTCGAAAGAGAAGATTATTTATTACCTTAAATCAGTGGTTCTCAAACATTCCCCACACTTTTGAAATAAACAAACAAACAAATAATTTAAAAAAAAAACCCAAAGAAAGCATCAGGCTTTTAGTATAGTCAGCATGTTTAATCATGCTCACATGACCAGAACACACACAAAAAATTCCACATATATAGAGCCGGCACTTATTTAAAATTAATTAAAATTTTACGAAGGAAATGTTTATTAGTTTACAAATATTTACGCTCCAAAACCATCACATTACTGTCTCGCGCACCCCCTACTGGCAGCTCCATGCTTGGGGAATCCCTGCCTTAAATAATGAATAAATTAAAAATACACATATTAATTGTGCTTAAAACATTTAAGTTTTTATTAATGGATTTGTTACAGTTTTACATTTTTTCAGGAAGTTATTTATAGATTTATCTCTAAAAGAGTAAAGAAAACGTAACAGTCATTTATGAATTATTTATATGAACAAATAATCAAACCACATCATAGTCCCTGTTTATAAAAAAAAAATCCTGATTGTCATTAGATCGCCCCTTCATTGTAGATTCTTTTATAAGATTTCAGGAGTATTTCATCTCGTTCTCACAGGAACTTGTTCGTCTCTGTTGTCATGATGTTTATTTTCCTCTCAGAAAACCCTTTAGAAATATGAATGAGAAAAAAGTTGGGTTTTTTTTAGTCTTTCAATCAACTAAGTCTTTCAATCAACTGACTTGTCAGTCAACCAACCATTCACACACTATATCAACCAGTTATTGAATCAACCAAACAACTAATCAATTCGTACAAACGCAGTGACCGTCCACCTGAAAAATCAAAACACGACCAGCTGTGACTGTAAAGGGGAAACTACCTGTTGTGTTTTCCTGACTCTGGTGTAACTGTACGTTTCTGTGAAGAAGTGGGTGTGGCCTCTCATCCCTTAACTGTGGTACACTTCCTGGTAAATCCTCCAGCATCTGCGGTGCCTGTGCAACCCGTCTAGGGATCTTGGAATCCAGAGTATCAGAATCAGGACAGGTGTTAGCCGACTCCCAGGCACCTGTGAAGTTTGAAGGTTAGAGGAACAGTCATTGGTCTATGATGTAGAGCTAGTACCAGGAGCCAGACCGATAACCAGAGGTTCATCCTCACTACAAACATAGCTGAATGTTTTCACCAAGACATGAGTCTCATCTCTGTATTATAACGTTAAGAGAAGAAATGAACACCATCCTACTGTCTATTGTTATGTGAATTTAAATCATAATACTGTGTCTTGAATGTGTCTTGTTCTCAGGCTCTTTATATGATTTATCTGCAGATTGTTAAAATGCCAGAGATGCTGGTTGTCATGTGTGCGCGAAATACTTACATTGTTTCCCTGCAGGAGCCACAGAACGATGTCGTCCAACTTTCTTTCCAAGGAAGGTCAGTGAATACGAGCCCTTCTCAGCACAAGAGTTTGCATACATTCTGTTCTAACGAGATGAGGTGATTGGTCAATAACCTGCAGAAAAAAGATTCAGAAATTGAAAATTAAAAAAAAATCTTTACTCTTTTAATCGTCCTTAATGTATTCATACTCACTAAGCCAACAGATGTTCCTACTCATTTACTTACTCACATGCCTGTCAGCTATCTGTCAAACCACCTTTGGTATTTCCTATATGTACACATTACATTAAAACTTACTCATTTTACCAAACTATTTATTTACTCCAAACTTCTACCTGAAACCCTACCTTCTTACCTACTTTTCATTATGCCCTATCTTCTTCTTTTCCTTTCCGCTTTGTCCCTTTTTTTCAGGGGTTGTCACAGCTAATCACTGATTTCCATCTCTCCCTGTTCTCTGCATCTTCTACTCTGACTCCAACTATCTGCATGTTCTCCCTCACTGCATCCATATATCTCCTCTTTGGCCTTCCTCTTTGTCGCCTACCTGGTAGCTCCATCTCCAACATTCTTCTACCAATGTATCCACTGTCCCTCCTCTGCACATGTCCAAACCATCACAATCTGGCTTCTCTAGCTTTTTCTCCAAACCTTCCTGTCTGTGTTGTCCCTCTAAGGACCTCATTCCTGATCCTGTCCATTCTTGTCACTCCTAAAGAGAATCTTAGCATCTTTAACTCTGCCACCTCCAGCTCCACCTCTGTCCTTCTTCTGCCTATTGGTACTGTCTCTAAACCATACATCATGGCTGGTCTCACCACCGTCCTGTAAACCTTTCCCTTCATCTTAGCTGACACTGATTATTATTAATATATTATCATTATTATTATGACATTATGCCCTGTCTACTATCTACAAATGTACTGGTACTTCTTATTTATCTTAAGAGTTTACACATCCACGTTTACTTTATTCCCTTCTTTCTACTTGTTTGTAAGTTCTACTTTTGTAACAAAAACAGCCCATCAATTTTTCCACCTTTTCTGCCATCCTTACCATCATCCTAACTACATCACCCAGGCTGTTCAGAAAAAAAAGAAGTCTCTGTATTCACCGTCGTACAAGGGTTATATATTCCATGTGCAACTTTCTTTCTCTCTGCCTACCAACCAACTTATTTCAACAACATATACAGGATAATGCAGTAAGAAAAAGAGAAAAATATACCTGCAGTGAGACAAGATCGGATCGATCAGTGCGGCAGCCTGGTCTCTGGTCTCGGTCTCTGAGCAGGAACCAAACTCTCAACAGTCTTTAAATATTGAAGTTGTTCAGATGAAGTTTCACCGAAACCCCAAAGAGCACGGAGAGAGAGGCTGCAAACACTGCTCAGGTTTCCTCTGTCTACGATTCAGATTGTAACTGGACTCTTACACACCTACAACAACCTGTGATGGTATTTTTACAGAGGAAGATCCTGAAAAAAAAAACAAAAACATGGCAATATGAAAAACTGTAGAATGACACTGACTTACAGTGTTCTGTGTTTCTGCTCAAGTTTGTGCTTGTCGGCTTTGGGTTTAAATGTTTTTCGTCTTTTCACTGATTTTTTAGATTTTCAGAGCCAAAAATCATCAAAAGTCATCTCTGTCTTCAACAGCTTTGACAACTTTCACCATTATACTCTCAAGCGTTTGACAATTTTAAAGGTGAAAATAGAGCAAAAATGTTTTCCCCTAGATTTTATGCTTGCGAAGATCCCCAAGAGAATTTTTTTTTCTTTTTTCTAAATCTGACAGTACATCTGAAATAACCTACCTTTAATATAACCTAAAATTACAGTTCTTAGATGAGGCAGAAACCTGTTATGACGAACATCCCTTAGAATTCTTCGCTGACAGAAACACTTCTTACACAAGTGTTTAAACAAGTGTTAAACACCTCGGGGTCGCAATCCCAGGTGGGGTCACCTGGAATTCAAACTGGGTTACCCTGAATATATAGTAATAGATAATTTAGAAAGACAAACTGAGGCTGAAAGAGAAGCACTGTAATACTTTCCATGTTTTAGATCTTCACTGTGGCTGCAATAGCACTCTTGTACAATTCAATAACACTGGGGGGAGGGAGGGGTTTAGAAACACAGTAGCAGTAGTTGAATAGAACAGATGTTTTATTTTCCACACCACCTACTAACACAGAACAATAATCTTTAAATCATCCTGATGTACTCTTCGCAGCTATTTATAATATTTTCATTTATAAAATTATAAAAGAAATTTCTGAACATGTATATACATGATTACACACAGGTAAACGCACTCAGTTCTACACATCAGTTTTTACCCCAGGTAAGGGATTATAATCATAGCCAGCCCTGCTAGCAGATTTTATACACTCACACTCACTCAGAGACATATATATTCTTATTACATGAACAGGATCTTAGCATCTTCTTCAAAGCTTAACCATGTTCCACACTTGTGTCTTGCTCAAAGGCACACAGGCAGCAGTTAAGTTTTTGTTGTTGTTTTCGTTTTGTTTAACACTGACGTGGGGAGAGGGAGGGGCCCTTTTGTGAGTTAAAAGTCTGTACTGTCTCTGAACAAGTCGATGCGCAGTGACAGCTCTTTGAAAGAAGGTCGCAGGAAGGCATCGTTGTTCCAACATTCGACCATCACCTCATAAATCTAAAGTTGACACACAAAAAGAAACATGAGTCAAGCGATGACAAAATACTTTTGCAACTTTTTTTGTTTTCATTTTCACATTTTTTCCTGGCTAGGAATATTCTTTATATATCAGGACATCAGCTGTACATGGCCACTGTTAATGTTTCAGGTAGAGCCTCTCATTTAGTAAGGGTAAGGCTTAGATCATCATTTTAAATAGATCAAACTTCACTACACATCATCACTGGGTTAGATCATGGTGAGAAGTACAGGCAGCTCAGCCAGTGGGGGTAAAGATAAGTTCACTGTTTTTAATACAGGTACCTCAGTTGGACAAGCCAGTGGTTGTGGCAGTCTGCTGCCTGTCCTCAGCAGCTCGATGAGGTGATAGACTATCAGTTGACCCTGTTTGTCGTTTCCCATCATGGACATGAAAACCTGGGGAAGAAGGAAGAAGAATATTACTGGTTCTTAAAACAGCTGCATCACCGCATAATTTCATTACATTGTGAGCTACAGTGTGTGAGTGTGTGTTCTCGTGTGCGTGTGTGTCAGTCTCACAGCAGGAGGACTGCAGATCTTGTCGCTGTGGGTGAACAGTTCATATAGAACGACACCAAAACTCCACACGTCTGATGGCACAGAAAACTTGCTTTCCGTGAGAGACTCAGGTGCGTACCTGCAGGGAAACAATCAGGTGTTCTTTTTGCTTTTCATAATTCAGAAAGAAAAAAAATACTTTAAAACTCCATCTTTTTCTAGTACCAGAAGATAGGGCTTTCTCCTGGCTCTTTGACCATGTAGTATTCTTTATCCTGAGGTAAAACTTTAGTGAGACCAAAATCTCCAATCTTGACCCTCTGTTCACTCTCCACCAGAACGTTCCGGGTCGCCAGATCTCTGTGGATGTAGCGTTTACTTGACAGATACTCCATGCCCTGACAAAAAAGTTTACATGACTAAAATATATCGTTCACTTTATTTAAACATATGGGTGTCATGACGTTGCACAGATGACCCACCTTGCAGATCTGAGAGGTATAATGTATGAGTTTCTTATGGTCGATTCTCTCCTTGTTTTTCATCAGATAATCCCGCAAACTTCCAAAAGGCAGATATTCCATAATGAGCCTCAGGTTCCGACGTCCTACAAAAAATAAAATCCACACATTTAAACACAGGTCTTTAACTGCAAGCATTTCCAAAGACTAATTAAGAAAAAATGGAAAGTATTCTTTACTTTGACCAATTATTGTTACAATAAGAAACTAGAATCTATTGTATCTACTTTACCAGCGCTGTAGCAAACGCCTTTATACTTGACAATGTTCTCATGCTGAAGGGATTTCAGGATCTCAATCTCCTGCTCAAAGTCTCGTAAGTGCTCAGCCGTACACTGCTGCAACTTCTTCACGGCCACAACCTCCCCTGTGTTGTCCTGCAAGGGGTCATAACGACACAACTCCACGCTGCCAAAGTTTCCCTGTAAAAACATGGTATTGATGAAACATAAAAATGTGTCATCATCTAAACATCAAGAGGCAGTAAAATGCAGTAAAACTGGAATAAAATCAATGATTATACACCAGGGGTCACCAACGTGGTGCCCAGGGGCACCTGGTAAACTCCCATGGTCTACCTAAGGTGCTCACCGGGTGTGTTCTAAAAATAAAAACTAGTCAACAAGAGGGTCAAAAACTGTACTGTTACTGTGCATTTTGAATCAGTTACACCTGCAACGATATTCAAATGGCTCCATTGACGATGATAGAAGAGGTTCTGCTATTGTATGTCCCAGAATTAATTATCATTACATTGTTGTACTAAACAAGTAGCTCTCTGTATTACTAAGCACCCTTGAAGTAGCTCAGAGTTTCAAAAACGTTGGTGAACCCTGTTATACACCTCTGGAATGTCCTTCCAGGAAGAGAAGGTATTGTAATTTGCACATACTCTGCCAAGCTGCTGTAAGAAAATCAGGTGTCTTTCCTCAAACTGTGCTGGTTCCTGACACTCGAAACAACTGCTGGACCAGGTCGTGCCAACATTTACTCTGTTTGGAAGGATGTCACTGTCCACTATCAGCTCATAATCTGGAAATAGACACAAACACATCTTTATTTAAACCAATATTAAGATATTAAATGTCAAGTTTTGCATCTTTTATATTAAAGGACTTATTCACACATTATAGCCAAGAAAGACATCCTGGTATTGGTTCTGGTAGTGGTTGTGTTTAGTTAGTGGATGGCACTGACCTGGTGTGAAAAGGCTGTGAAGGTCACGGATGACAGCTCTAAATGTCGGTCTGAACATGGCCTCGTAGTCCATGCAGCTGGAAATCAGGTCAGCTATTTCAGTCCACTTTGGTGCAGGAAGCTGATGGTGGTCCTCATAGAAGAGGACTTTCTGTGGGAGACAGAAACTCACTGTGGGCATCATAGGCATCGTAACCAAACAACAAAAGAATCACAAGAGTGAGAAAAATACGTTTTTGAAATGTTGATTGGGCAAGAACCTTTTTTTTTTAAACCATCCTATTCTGGCCAGTAATTGTACTGCACATGTAATTACATTTATGGGTAAGTTAAAAAAAAAATTTGGGAGAGGGCATCCATTGAGAGGAGAGTGCTGCCGTTATAACCTAATAGATTTTAGTTTAGTTTTTAGTTTTAGTTTTTAGTCTAACCTTTGGGTTGTCCAGTGTTGCTAAAGGTTTGTCCCCACCACTACAGATCTCCCAAAGTGTGGTGCCAAAGCTCCACTTGTCTGCAGATAGGCTCAGGTTGGCAGGATCCTTAAGGCACTCAGGAGAAACCCAGGGGATTCTCTCAATCAGGACTGACACAGACACAGAGAGTAACATCTTTACCAACATCCATAGCACCAACCAAGTCTGTGTTTTTATTCAGATATTGGTACACTCCTGGTCAAACAGGTGCACGACTCACTTTCTTTTGGCAGAACAGTGATGCTGATGCCAGGATCGGTTAGTTTGATAAAGGGAGCGTTTCCCGCCCTGCGGTCCTCCTCTCGAATCACCAGAACATTTTTGGCACAAACATTTCCGTGCACCAACCGCTTCTCTTCCTGCAGGTAAAAAAGTGAGTTAGAGGGGTTTTTATTTCTCTCTTTTCTCGCTCACAAATCTTCATGCTCAAGTGTTTAAAAAGTGAATCTGATTGGTACCAGAAAGTTCATGGCCCAGGCTAGTTGCTTGGCCACCTCAAGCTTCCACAGAATGTTGATGTGGTTTTTGTTCTTCTTCAGGTAAGTGTCCAGGGATCCAAACTTGGCATACTCCTGCACCATGATGTCTGAAACAGCAAGTCTGATTACATTTACTCCTCTTTATCTTTTTCTAAAGCCACGTGCCATCACAGCTAACCCAGGGATCATCCGAAATGCAGTCATTTAGAGACTGTGGTCTGATCACTAAGACCCTACGAATAAATGTGCTAATAGCTTTTTTATTAGGGCAGCAATGAACTCTCTACTAGAAATGCCTCTCATGATTTTCCACATAAGATTGACCTACTCTCTTCTCCACAGACACAGACGCCGTAGTTAAGGATCAGGTGTTTATAGGACAGCTGACTCATCATGCTGGCTGCTTCAAAGAACGACTGTAAGACAAAAGCCCGGTTACAGTTGAAGTGGTCACGTTACCATGTTATTATAAATCTTAACAGTCAGTGGCAGGTCAGTAAGCACACCTCAGAGTAGTTCCTGTGAGTTTGGTCTAACACTTTCATCACAGCTTCTGTCTGATGTATCTGTCCGTAATCTCCCAGCTCTTTGCGAACACCTTTGAAGATCTTCGTGAATGTCCCCTGTCCCAGAGACTCCATCTGATGAGACACACAGGGCATTATCACTTAATCATAAGGCCTGTTCACATCTGGTATTTAAAGAGCACTCTAAGTGATTCTGCTGTGTCTAATGTGACTGATCGTAGAATTATCCATTTGACAGTGAGCCTAAATTCCTGAAGTCAATACATTATTTGGACCAGTTTCAGATTTATTTTGTTTTAACAAACAAAAACATACTAGTTCCAGATCTTCCTTCCTGATTTTGTGAAACACCATCTGGTTGATGTTGTGTCGATGCAGCGACGGTGACAGAGAAACTTCTGATCCTTTATTACTTCGACACACAAGCAGGCATGTTTTTTCTAAAGAAAGTAAAACACAACAGTTGTTAACATTTGAATCATGGTCTGTTTTTGGTAGGATGTTTCTCATCGGTTAGAGCAGTGGTTCTCAAACTGTGGTAGTGCTCTCTAGTGGTACGTGGGGAAAACATATTTTCACATTTACATTTTTAATTGAATAAATCTGAAACATACCATACACAATGAATTTTTAACATAAACATCTTTCTAAACATTTCTAAACCTCTCTCCTGTGTGGTGGAAGCTAACAGTGAAGGCCTTTGCTGCTATATTCTAATGTTGGTCATCATGGTGGTACTCAGAGAGATCAAGGTTTTCTCAGGTGGTACAGAGTAGAAAAAGTTTGAGAACCACTGGGTTAGAGGATTGTACCTTTGGCTTTCGGAGGACAGCACTTGCTAAACTGGAAAACAACATTGTCTGAGCGTACAGTTTCGTTCTGGTAGTGGTTGAGCAGTTCCTGTAAGCTGCTGAAGTTTCTTTTGGCTCCACTGAGGTTGAACTCTCGATCGGCAGACCTGATTATCTGACAGTGTTTGTACTCTACAGCGCCACATACCTGAGACAAAGGACAGGTGAAGGCTATTACTGAAAAATAAATCTCAACAAAGGACTACAACAATAAGAAAAAATGTTTTACAGTGACCTGAAACACGATACAATGAGAAATGAGAAAGTGTTTCAAATTGACTTTTTGTTCCAATAATAATTAGTACAATTAATTCAAGCTTTACTCTAGAGAAAATTATATTTAAATACTTAAGTATCTTACTGCTTTATTACATAAAACATTTATGCACACTAAATTGTTTTATAACTTTTAAAAAACATTTAATGTGTCACCAAAGCAGACATTTGTACACACGCACGAACAAACACACACACATGAGGCAGACAACAAGTTCTCTGAGTGCCTCCCGGCTGCTGAGACATCATTCCTAAACAATAACACATGGATAAGTGTGAAGGACGCAGAAATACACACAGACATAAACAGCACAGAGCCACCAAGTTGTTTTAGTCAGACCAGGCTTTCTCACCTCAACAGGAAACGTCAAGAAATACTTGTTGAAATCTTTCGGGCTCTCCCTCAATATGTAAAGACCTCGTTTGTTCCCACTTTTCTGTAGGCGGTTTAGCGCAAACTCCATTCTGTAATCAAACACAAACACACATGTTTCCAAGTTTCTAATTTTGGAATAGAAATATTTAAAAAATCATATCATCTTTCATTTTTAGCCATATCATACTTTAGGATATTTTGATATATCTAGGCATGATAAAGTATCACCAGAACATTTTATCATTTGTTAATAAAGGCTTAATAAAATGCAACTACATATTCACGTTTCCTAAAACAACTCTATTCACCATCAATTACAAGTGATGGTTAGTGTTAGCAATTTTTTCATGGAGTTACACTTGGATGAAGATATTTTATTCTTCACGTACGGCATTGGGCCGTGGCAGTGGGAAGCAATGGCCTCCAACAGCCTGGGTGAGGCAACCTCTTTACAAAGATAGTGATGAGCATCAGTGGTCAGACGATAGTAACCATCCACCAGTGACACAAAGCACAGAGCTTCAAGCAGACTGGCAAACTCCAGTTCCTGAAAGACAATGAAAATCAGTGATGAGAGTGTCAAACACCTGTGAGATAGTAGGTAATTTATACAAACAAAAATTAGTGATGTCGCATCTGTCGAAATTATATAAAATATGTTTTGTGTAAGACATATCCCCATATCAACCTATACAAAAACATCAATAAAAAACATTGTTGCTTCACCGAAATTCAAACTCATATTATTGTCGTCACTTATCATGTTATGTGTGTTATTCATTTTAATGACTGCATCACTTATAAAGGAAATGTGAACTGACCAGGTTCTTTCCATCCTGCTTGTTGATTGTGACGACACGACTCTCTGTAGCACTTTCTTTACTTGCCAGCTTAATGTTGATGTAAGTGACATCTTGAAAGTCGCACAAAGCCTGCAGCTCCTGAACACATCATCAGCATACAGTATAAAGTAAGGATTATTTTCCTACAAACAATTTTACTGCACTGCAGACATAAAACAAACTGTATATTGTAGGACTCAGCGATATGGTGCAAATACATAAATACAGTCAGACCTGGTCAGAGCCTTTCATTATCTCTCGACAGCACTGGATACCAGTGTCTGCAGCCACCAGGATGATGAGCTGACCACCTGACGGTTCTCTGACGTGGAAGGTCTCAGTGTAGAAGTTCTTTTCCAGGGATTCCATGCTGATGAGGTACTTGAGTTTTAGGTCTCTGGCAGTGGTCCGACACTGACTGAACTGCTGGATGAAGCGTTTAAAGCGAAAACGGATTCGCTTCCTTGTTAAAAAGTTGCAGTTCTGGATCTGGGTTCTCATCTCCTTTGGCAGAAAGGATTTGTAGCTGTTGAGAAAAATGGTCAAGAGGTAACGGTTAAATCCTTTTTCATTTATTTTGGGGTACAGCTAGTATACATGTAATTTATTGCTGTCAAATATTTTACTTAGCATGAACAATGTTTTTTATTCTTAGTTTGCTGTGGGACATCGTACATGTCAGTGCTGCAAGATATCAAATATTAAAGTATGAAATTATTTTGAGGAAACTTACTGTACCCACTGATTTTTCACAGAGACCTAGCTCATGACAAAGTACTTCAATAACACAGTATAAATAGGGGCATATTATTGCATATAACAAAGTTTTACCTGTAAAGTTATACAATCTACTTGGTGTGCTGATTGACTGTGAGCCAAAGTGTGAAAAACGCACACCTACAACTTGAGCAGTTTTACACAAACCCAAACTTAGTCTTTTTATTTTCACTCGTACCTTATGGTGTGGTAAATGTCCAATGGGGACATCTGTCTTTCTTTGGCCATCCTTGTCATGTCTAACACGGCCAAACCCAGGCACTCCTCCTGAACTTCATGGCTGGTCGGGATTTTCACCAAACCATTGACAAAGTCGTTTCTCCACTGCATCAGCAAGAACATAACCCACACAAACTGTTACATTATAGATTTCTCACTGTATGTTTGTCTGTGTTTGTCCTCTGAGGCTTAATGAACCAGCACATGACTTTTACATAAAATGTCAACAAGATCAACACATGGTGGATGAACAGCGGGTCACATGGCTGTGTGATGTCTGATATCAATGTCACCTCAACCCATTTAATGTTTCCTATTATCTCATTATCTTGTTTAGAGATTCAGTTTCAGACAGAGCATAACTGAAAAGGTACATGTTTAGGACTACAAAGGAGACAGAGTCTGATAGAGTCCATTGTTCGTGGTAGTGGCTTTTTCAGTCATAGTGGACACAGTTTCTGCTATTGTGCAACATCCTGTACTGTGCATGTAAGGAACAACATTTACATTATAAATTCGATGTGACCCACGCAATAGCTGCTGGGGTACTTACCTGAGAGAAGATGTAAGACATGACAAAGTCGTCAAAGACAGGACCTTCTGCCCTTTTCGTGACTCCATATCGAAAAGCCTGTGATGTTCCACCGCTGTACCAGCCAGGAAAATAGTACCTGATGGCAAGAAAGCAGTGAGCTACAAGGATATTTGTCACTAGGATTACAAAGAAAAGAAAAAAATATTACCTTATCCTAAAAATCAGATCCTCAGAAGCTGATTGGTCAAGCTGAAACAGGTGATTTGGGGAAAACCACAAACTGTCTTTTTCTCTGTACAAAGCAAAGAGACTGCAGTACAGAGGCGAAATACCTGAGGAAATAGAAATCAATCAATCAAGAAATCACACAATCAATCAATGTCCTCAGAAAGCATTTTTTCATGCTTAATTGGATTTCTTCTTGACAGATGGTAATAGTTTATAAAGAAAAAACTATGTGGTAAAGTTTGAAAGATTTACAAAATGTAACAGATTACTCTGTAACACATACTGGATTACATTTGGAGCAGGAAGTGTTTTTATTACTAACAAAGGTGAAGTATGGGTCTATGGAGAAATGTCAGATGTGTTTGGTTCATCACCAAACACACACACACACACACATTTAGATGCAGGTCTGTCTGGGATTTACATCATGGTGACAACAGCAAAAATTCACCAATCAGAGTTGTTCTTTTCATTCTTATGCGTTATGTAAACATACATTAGGTGCAGATGAAAAAGCTGTGTTTCATTCACTTTGGCCAGCTGAACTTTATCACTGAAATGAAAACATTTAATGATGATGCATCAGAACTTACTGCAGGCTGCTGCCGCATCGATGCACAGTTTTTCAGCCACATAGTCTCCAGGTGGGTATGTGAGAATGCTGCTGTTGGTTGCACTCTGACTGCTGCTGCAGTTTGTGCGGTGGTACAGATGAAGTCTCAAAACAAAAGCTGCAGCCGGTGTCTCTATAGATTCTCTGTGAGCATTCCCGTTCTGGTGCACTGTGGGAAATGTGTCTGTCACAGTGTCCATGGCTGACAGAACAACCATCGACCTCACGCACTGAACCTTTAATTAGTCAAACACAAGCAAAATGTCAGCAGTTTCATGAATCTAGTATGATCAAGAGAACGTTTGAGAAAATGTTTTAAAATGTGAATGTAAACTAGTGTAAGCTACAAACACAGGATTCCTTGTTTGTGTGCACATTCAAGTAAATAAATCTAATTTTACAACTTTCTGTCAAGCTTTTAATAAGATGTCTATCAGTAACAGTCAATAAAATGAATGGTTCACAGCTTAAAGAGTGTTTTGCAAGTTAAGTTTCTTCTGGCCAACCAACTGAATTTCACAAAAATAAACATGTCAGCATAACTGTTCCTGGCTAACACATGATGCCTGGATAGGTCATAACCCTAACGTTTAATCTTGTGGGGGTTTTTTTCAAACAAAGATTGTTGGAAAAAGCATGGTTGACTGAGAGCACTTAAAATTATGTTTTGGAAAAAAGTGTTTTTTTTATTAAACTCTAATCTTGCTAGTTAGCCTACAGCACAACTGTGGCAGTTGACATGCTGTGCAGTTGACATGCTATGGATAATATACAATAGCATTATGGAAATGAATTAGCTCCTGATTCTGTTCTTCATTCTTAGTACTAGTTTCTATGGTAGAAATGCAACTAGTCCCTGACTACTACTTACAAGTTAAAGATATTCTTTCATTGGAGACACACACTAGTCCTGGTACCACCCTACTCCCAATTCCTGAGACCATAACTCTATCACATATATATGTGCTACAAAAACAGAGAAGTTTAAAAAGCCTTAACAGGCAAAGTCTTGAAAAAAGTAGTTCTGTTTAAGTCTTAAAAATGCTGATTAAAATAAAATGCAACATGTTCTCTGACACTGAGGAAGTAGTGTTTTGCAACCTCAAACCAGACAGTTCCTGTGCTCCCCATTAGTCAAACCTTTGGAGCAGCAATTATTTGTGGGCAGAAGGACAAAAAAAAACAGCTCTGAAAGGTAGCTTCGAATGAAAAAAAAAACCCCACAGGCCTTTTAGGGGGGAAAGGACTATGAACATCCCAAATATACAGTGCCAGTTACCCGTTGATTGACCTTTGTGTTAATCAGATACAAACATTTGTGATAACACAAACACCAGCTTCTCAGGTAAACAGACTTATAATAGAATGTTTAATGAATTAAAAGACATAATTAGTCAAATAAATCATTGCACAAACTGCTGCTGTTCCTGCAGTGTTGAATATCATTCAATGAAAAAATCTCTATCAACATTGACATTGATTGTATGGCTGCTGTGACTTTTTCTTTTATCATCCTTTTTTTTTTTATAAAAACAAAACAGTTTATAATGTAGTGAAATGTTTGAGTGAGTCTGACTAAATGATTTACATGAAGGAACAAAGAAAATCTTTAATATTAAATTGTAATACCAGCATTTCCTTTATGTGAACTTGCAGAATTCACAAGGGTAAGTAAAAGTAAATAAGCTCAGCCACTGATGCTTTAAAGCCACAGCCAGATTTTAATGTCCTTGTCTGACATGGGTAGGCCAAGGATAAATAAATAAATCTGGGGTATGTTCTAAAAATAAAACTAGTCTAAAAGAAAGTCAACAATTGTACTGCTACTGTTTTTTTAATCAGAAACAGTATTCAAATAGGTGCAATGACGATGATGATGTTATGATGAGTGTCGTCTGTTGTATGTCCCAGAATTTGACAATAATTATTATTAAATTGTTTGGGAAGTCTAGTAGTATAAAACAAGTAGCTCTTAAAAATTACTAAGAGCCCTTGAAGTAGCGCTCTGTTTCAACAAGCTTTGTGACCCCTGTTGCAGACAAACATTCTAGTGTAAAAAGCCCTGTACAAACATGTTCTAAATACACATGTCCTAAACCAGGGATGTCCACACTTCTTTGGCTTGGGAACTGCTATTACAAGGTTAAAGTGATCTACCCACATTGAAAATGTTTAATATTTTTACTCATAAACTGAACCTACTTTATATGTACATTATCTTTTGAGGTTCTGATTAAATGTATGTAGCTATATGGCAGAATATGATTACTTCTTACACTGTATGGTTACTACTACATTACATTTCAATACATTTAGCAGACGCTTTTATCCAAAGCGACTTTCAATTCACCAGTACAGAAAACTAATTAGAAGACTAGTTTTTTAAAAAAAATGGCGACATTCAAATCAACATATTTATCAAAATAATGTGATTTCTGAAGGCCATCCTTTTCTGTGCCAACATTAGCTTTAGCTTTAAAGAGGCTACACACCCATTTCCATTTCTGACTAACCTGTTGCGTCAATGACCATATGGCATTTATTTACATATATGACTTCTGACATTGAATAAATGTCTGATGTTAGAATGTAGCAGAATCTAAGAGAAGTTAACAAAATAATGATGTAAAGCGTGTGAGGAGTTAGTTTTAGTTTGAATACTTACATAGGTCAATGAGCCACAGGTTAGCTTTGCTTTTAGCCTCCTGGGGCCAAGTCTCCGTTAGCCTTTAAATGTCCTCTCAGTGCAAACGAAACAACTGCTGCCACAACGACAATGGCATATTTTGGGTGACAACAAGTAAATCTCAGTTTCGCTTCCGAATTACGGCGAGTTTCCTCAGTTTACTTTACTATGTCAGTCAACTTCTGTTTAGTCTGCGAATTTCAGCTAACAGCGGCTAACGGTGGCTAACAGCACGTTCCCTTCTGTGACAACCTGGGTTCAGTTAACAGACCGTTTTTTAAAAAACACGTGTTCCGTTCGCATTATTTCACCGTTAAGGTGAATTCGCGTTTATTTTGACGAACACGAACCTGAGTATGAACAGAACGATAGCTATAGGGCTCCTGTCACTCACAAGTGTTGCGCAGGCGCAGGTCAAGTCAACAAATCAATGCTGCCTTCAAGGGCTGCCCGAAATACAAACGTATTACAAACAAACGTACAAATGTTCTTTTTTAAGGATGTTTAAATATTGTTACAATGCACATTATTCCAAAAATAATGTATATAGAAAATATAAATGAATAAAAACAATGAACGAGATTACTAGTGTTAGCACCTCCCGAGGGAGGCGTCGGCGGGGCAATGGACCGATACCGCCTGTCAACCTCACGTTCCATCCTACCGTCACTCGTGAACAAGACCCCAAGATACTTAAACTCCTCCACCTGAGGCAGGACTTCCTCCCCAACCCGGAGGGTGCAAACCACCTTTTTCCGGTCAAGAACCATGGCCTCGGACTTAGAGGTGCTAATTCTCATCCCAGCGGCTTTACACTCGACTGCAAACCGCCCCAGTGCATGCTGCAGAACCAAACTCCTACTCCGATCGTACAGGGACCGGACAGCCCTTAGAAGAGGGCCCCCAACCCCATACTCTCGGAGCACCCCCCACTCCAAATCCATAAAACACATGTGGACCAGTTGGGCAAACTCCCATGATCCCTCAAGCACCCTGTGGAGGGTATAGAGCTGGTCCAGTGTTCCACGACCAGGACGAAAACCGCATTGTTCCTCTTGAATCTGAGGTTCGACTATCAGCCGGATTCTCCTCTCCAGTACCCTGGAATAGACTTTTCCCGAGAGGCTGAGGAGTGTGATCCCTGGTAGTTGGAACACACCCCTCTGTCCCCCTTTTTGAAAAGAGGCACCACCACCCTGGTCTGCCAGTCCAGAGGTACTGTTCCAGACTGCCACACGATGCTGTAGAGACGTGTCAACCAAGACAGCCCCACAACATCCATAAACTTGAGGTACTCAGGGCGGATCTCATCGGCGGAAGGTGTGTCAGCAGGATTGAGGAGATCCTCGAAATATTCCTTCCACCTCCAGTCGACATCCCCGGCTGGAGATGTAAACAGCAGTGGTGGGAAACTGCTTCCCCTTCCTGAGGCGCCGGATGGTTTGTCAGAATGGAATCCCCGGGAGGAGCACTATCCAGTACCCCTCCCAGTGTCTGCAAGAAGGCCGGGTATTCTAAACTGCTATTTGGCCCGTAGGCCGAAACAACAGTGAGGCACCTGTCCCTGACCCGAAGGCGCAGGGAAGCAACCCTCTCGCTCAGTGGGGAGAACTCCAACACACGACTGGCAAGCTGGGGAGCTATAAGTAAGCCTACGCCAGCACGCCGTCTCTCACCGCGAGCAACTCCAGAGCAGAAGAGAGTCCAGCCTCTCTCAAGGAGTTGGGTCCCAGAGCCCAGACTGTGCGTGGAGGTGAGCCCGACTATATCTAGTCGGTATCGCTCAACCTCCCGATGAGCTCAGGCTCTTGTCCCCCCAGCAAGGTGACATTCCATGTCCCCATAGCCAGAGTGGTTGTCCAGGGATTGGGCCATCGGGGTCTCCTCCCACAACCACCACCCAAATCACAAGGCACTGGCCCCTTGTGGGCCTTCCTGCGGGTGGTGGGCCCACTGGAAAGCGGGCTCACGTCGCTTGTTCGGGCTGAGCCCGGCTGGGTCCTGTGAGCAAGGACCTGGTCACCAGGTGCTCGCCTGCGAGCGCCAACCCTGGGCCTGGCTCTAGGGAGGGGCCCTGGTGACGTCAATCCGGGCGACGTGAACCTCTTTGATTTTATGGTTTTCTTCAACTGGGGGGAGGAGGGGGTTAAGGTTGCGGTTCCAACGGAGGGGCCGTCACATTCCGTTAGTCAATAAATAAATCTCAATAAATCTAATTTTGGGGTCCACGTACATCTGTTGTCTCGTTTGAGCTACATGATGGCTGCCCTGTACCTGGATATAGGTGGTAGAGTAACGCTGGACAAATGAAAGCTGAGTAAGAGGATGAAGTTGTCAGGAAGTCCGGCATAAATAAAACTGCCCTCATATACAAAGCTTCAAGCTGGACAAATGGCTCAATATAGGCTCACGATTTTGGACAGTAATAACACCTAGTGGATGATTAAGATGAAAAAAGTAAATTATTGTCTCATACACCTGTCTAATTTAACACACATCACATTTGCCCCTCTGATCTGTGACTGTCAGCATTATTGTATTTTATTCTACTGATATGGTACCTGGGTCGTGCAAGCTGGACCAGCATATCCACCAAACTGACTCGACATGCTGCATGTGATGTCGAGAAAACTCGTGGGTTAAGCGAAAGAAATCGAGACTGGGTAAAATAGGAAAAACATTTTATTCACCACTTGGTGGCAGTGTTGCTTAAAAAGAGAACTTTTTCACCTGCGTTCTCTCACACAAACACATTAAGACAAAGGTTTACTGCCTGCCATTCCTCTCCCAAACACAAACATATTTTGGATTAGATCATTTATTTTAAAATTTGTATTTTTTTTTCCTTCAAATGGCCACACAGGATTCTCTTTATGTAGATCAATCAATGCAAACCAAAAAAATTAAGTAATCAGAAAGTAAAGGCAGATATTTAACAACAGATGCAGCATATGTTGTCTTTTCAAAAGCCAATCAAATGAACACCAGCTTTTAGGTGTGTTGCACAATAGTGCCACCATTGGTCCTTTCCTGGTCAGAGTACAATCAGTGACCTTGAAAATCTTAAGAATGAAGCAGGTTAATGATAAGGAGCCCATTAGCTCTCACAAACTTTAACAGTTCACGAGATAATTACACAATAGAGCATTCACGATGATGCCCTTTTTTCCTCATAAGGAGAGTCGTACGCCTCCATGGGTGGGCAGGTGCACATCAGATTCTGGTCACCATAGATGTCATCAATCCTGGAGATGCTTGGCCAGAATTTGGTTTCTGGTCTGATAAAAGGCTAAAAAAATTGGAAAAGAGAGGGGAAAAAATAAAAATCTGTTGTCCAGCAGGTGGCAGCCAATATCATTATCTGAGTTTATTTTTGTATATGACAAAGGTTTAAATTGAGGACCTTGATGACAAGGTCTTTTAGTTGCAAATTAAACCTGTAAAAGTAAACCAGAAGTTGCATTGCTGGTGAGGTTTGATCTTTATGAATGTAGATGAGTCGCTAGGCTGTTAACCAACAAAGTTCTTCCAAAATCATATCCCTTCAGGGCATCAATTCAAAGCCAAACTGTCACATCCACTTAAATATTTACCTTACACAGTAATTCCCTGTTAAATTATTCTGACCTTGGCACACTCAGCTATGGTATTTCTGTGTTTGGTCTAGAAGACACAAAAAAAGTAATGGCAGGGAGTTAACATTTACCAGAGGGAAGGCAGCAAACTCTCTGGAGTATGGTCTATCCCAGTTTGATGAAGAGATGCAGGCCAGGGAGTGAGGTGCCATCTATAGGCAGAGAAACAACATTGTCATCAAAAACTTAAAACTAAAACTTATCTTTATTTGTCATTGTGACACAGCACACCATGCACAACTAAATTTATCCTCTGCATTTAACCCATCACCAAGTGAACAGTGGGCAGCCGTGGTCAGCGCCCGGGGAGCAGTGCTTGAGGACGATGCCATTGCGTCTCAGTGGCAACCTGGCAGTTGGTGGATTCGAACCTGGGGCCTTCCGGACCGAAGTCCGCTTCCTTTACCACTAGGCCACCCCCGCCCCCAGTCATCAATGGTGACTGGTTCTGGTAAATAGTATTTTTGTTTTTCACCTCACAAACTTGTGATGACATACCTTAAGAGGATTAATGCGAGTGTCCATTCGCCCCTCCTCAATGTCTGCAATCTCCTGTCTAATACCCAGCAGGGCATCACAGAAGCGGTCAAGCTCTGCTTTGTCCTCTGACTCTGTGGGCTCGATCATCAATGTTCCAGCCACAGGCCACGACATAGTGGGAGCATGAAAACCTGCAAGCCAGGGTCAGAAATGAGTGGATCAGGGTTCCATTTAGTCTTTATCACATATTTGAAGATTGTAGTCAGACATCAAGAAGTGTTGCAATTACTGACTAATACACAGGCAAAATGGGTTTAGTGTCAGACTAAAGAAATATAGAAAAAAAGTTATGTACCATAATCCTGCAGCCTCTTGGCAACATCCACAGCCTCAATGTTTGCTGTCTTTTTAAATGGTCTCACATCCAGAATGAACTCATGAGCCACAAAACCTAGAGCCCAATAAAAGCAGGGAAAGGGATAAAGGTGTTAATATCTACCAGTTGATGATAAATCTTATTTAAAAAAAAAAAACACAGGAGAAACCAAACCATTGCTTCCTCGGAACAGGATCTTGTAGGAATTTTCCAGTCTCTTGGCCATGTAGTTCGCATTAAGGATGGCAACTTCTGTGGCATGTCTCAAACCTTTGGATCCCATCATCTGAAACACAGCACAGCATTAAAGTTAGCTCAGCACAGCACAACTTAGCAACTTCACTTATTTTTTGCTACTTTCTGAGCTATTCGAGTAATCTTCCTGTTAACTTTGAAATAGTTTTTAATTGTTAAACTGATCCTGTTTTCTCTTATTAGATATTTTACATTTAGCCACAATAAACTAATTTTTAATTTTAAATAAATGTGTACTTGTAAAAAAAGACTGGACCTTGATATAAGCCCATGAGATGGGAAGGATGGCACTCGATCCCCATGGGGCAGCACTGATTGTTCCCAGTGAGCTGGAGGAGTTGACAGATGCCATGGCCACAACTGGGTGGCTGGGGAGGAAGGGGGCAAGGTGGGACTTCCTGAAAAGAGTAACTAGGTCGTTAGACCACTTTAACAACCAGAATGCATGATGACGATTGATTGATTATTGATGAGTGTCTCAGACCTATATGAAATTGTATCCAATTATTTAAGCAGAATTTGCTTTTGTTCACCAACTACATTATAGCAGACAATTTTATTAAATAAAACATAATTGAATATTTTTTAATAATGTGTGAACAAGTGTACACACACTCCAATGGGGCCCATGCCTGGTCCTCCTCCCCCGTGAGGGATGCAAAAGGTTTTGTGCAGGTTCAGGTGAGAAACATCAGAGCCATAGTCTCCAGGACGACACAAACCCACCTGTAAGGTAGAAAAAAAGAGATCTGTAAACCATATGTTGAGATGTGAATTCGATTGGGAATAACAATACCACTGTTCACATCAGGGTAACATTTAATGTTGTTTTTTTGGGCATCATAAAATGTTTTTTCTTCATGATGGGATTTTATTCTAATCCAAATTTGGACCATTTGTGTCCATGTCAACAAAGCAGATAATTCTGAATACCTGCACCTGAATGCAGCACAATATTCATTCTCTGCTTTCTCCTGGATTTCATTTCATATCAAAAACATTAAATGTTTATCTTTGTGAGGAACAGTTTGTTCTCAATGTCTTTCAACACTGCATTCCTGTTAATTATTAATACCATAAATAGATACATTGATACAATGCATGTAAATTTTATCAGGAATAAAATTGTAACCTCCACCTGGGCTTTCTCCATTCCTTCCTCACTTTCTGTTTCTCTCACCTGAGCGTTCATGTTTGCTCCATCCAGGTAAACCTGACCTCCGTTCTGGTGAATTAGATCACAAACGTCTCTGATTTGTTCCTCAAACACACCAAAGGTGGAAGGGTAAGTGATCATCATGGCAGCCAGACTGGCCTTGTGTTTGTCCACCTGAGCCAGAGACATTTTTAGATTAGTTTTAGGACATAAACAAAGACAAACAGTCTTCATTATAAAAACTACAGTGGAGTTTCTTTATACTGTCAGGAAAAATACAAAGGGAAAAAATATAACATGCTCTATATTAGTGAAGACAATCTCACCAGTGCTTTGAGATGAGCCAGGTCGATGTTTCCATCTTTGTCCACTTCCACCGCCTGGACCTTCATTCCTGCCATTTGGGCACTAGCTGGGTTTGTGCCATGAGCAGATCTAGGAATTAGACAAACCTGAGACAAAGCAATAAACAAACAATTATTTACCAAGTAATAAGAAGCACATTTGATTCAAAAATAAAAAGCATTAACATTATGGTTTATTTTTACAAGTTGATAGTAATCTGTCTTTCATTTTCTGTTTGGACTTTGACTCAACTGCCACAATATCCATTACTGACTGTGGACTGAGCTTTAAACTGCTGAGTCATGTTCTTTAATCACATCTTATCTTACTGCCTTGATTGTGATGGCACAATGACCCGTTGCATGTAGAGACACAGTTGAAACACATGTTCCCTTTCAGAATGGTTACCTTAACTTCTGTTTCTAACTTTGTTTTTATTTCCCCTTTTCTCTTCTTTTTCCAGCATATTTCCCCAGCCAACTATTAGGGGCTTTGGGCTGTGGAAACTATTTTATTTTTCTAATACAAAAGAAAGAACAAAGGAAGAGCTGAACTTTTAGAACATTTTAATTTTGTAATTTTTTTTAGGTATTTAGATATTCTCAAAAACATACACCTAAAAAGTGTATCATGTTTAAAAAAATGTAGCACTTACGCTTCGGCCACGTTCTCCTCTGGAATTTAGATATGCTTTAATGGCAGCAAGACCAGCGTACTCGCCCTGAGCTCCACTGCAACACATGCACACATTTCATCAGGTTAATGGTGAGAAGTTTCCAGAAAATATATATTAATGTCAAGAGAGACACGAGGGTGAAGTTTTCTCAGTCTAAAATATTACACTATTAATATTTAATATTAATACCTTGCCTTAAGAACTCAGCTTGTTGTTGGAAACTGTGGTACTGATGAGCACATGGTGGTTTAGTTATTCTGTTCCGTTATTATAAAAACAGAGCATGGTTTCTGTGCCAAGTACATTCCAAGGCAACATTCATGCAGCACAACAGGCACTTTTGAGTTTGACTGCTTATAACTGGACTGTCACAATTGCAAAACTGACGTGGTTGTGCTATCAGATGTAAAACCATAAAAGACCATCGGGGGTGACACCTTGACCCCCATTCAAAGTGAATTATTATGTTGATAAGGTCCTGTTTTTCTGTTGTTGTTTTAGCACAGGAAGTTGCACCTTCTGGAGTGGATAGGGTTTTAGATGGTACAGGGTAATGGTCCTGGTGGCCACTGTTGACACATTGACTGTAATGTCTCAAAAGTGCAAAAAGATACAAAAGTAGATGTCACAAATAAATAATTATCTGCAATGTTTTACCAGTTTTTTTGGATTTTTAAAAAAAAAAGACCTGTTTACTACTTCATGGCAGACCTCCAATCTTTGTGTGCAGTATATGTTCTGAAGCTCATGGCTGTGTGAGTGTTCTGACCTGTTGGGCTGAAATGAGATCTTGTCGTAGCCTGTCACCTCACACAGGTCTTTTTCCAGCTGCCTAAACATAATCTGGTAACCTTCAGCCTGATCCAGAGGAACAAACGGATGAATGTTGGCAAATTCCTTCCAGGTGATGGGCTGAAGAGGAGGAGAAAGAAGGCAATAATAGGTTGCAAAATACTGAAGATCTTACAGCCTGACATTTTCACCATCTCACAGAACAAACTGTAAGAACAAATCTTTGACATTGGTGACCAATTAAATAAACTACCCATGAGGGCAATGATACATTGAACTCTAGCATGAAAACACACAACACTGACTGACCAGAGCGTAGCTGGTTGTGGTGAGATGTGACCGAGGATCAGGTCACTGGATCGGTGCAATTACATCAGATACGATTACATCAGGTACGATTACCTGTACTTGAACAGTGCATCCCTATTGAAAACATCAACTCCCTAAAGTCTGGGATCCAAAGGTTTGCGCCACAGAAGTTGCCAGCCTTAATGCGAACTACATGGCCAAGAGACTGGAAAATTCCTACAAGATCCTGTTCCGAGGAAGCAATGGTTTGGTTTCTCCTGTGTTTTTTTTTTTTTAATAAGATTTATCATCAACTGGTAGATATTAACTCATGACCTGGTGTTAAGAAAGCCGGCAGAGGTGGCGGAGACATCCAGACAGGAGGTCAACAACAAACCTTCCACCTCAACAAGACCTCTGATACGGTTTGCAAAGGCCAGAAAGAATGCCAACAGTACTCTCACCAGGCAGCGAGTGGTCAATAAGGGTCGACCTAGGGAGGCAGCTCCAATTCCCCAGGGAGATCACAGAAACTCATAACCACGCAGGACTATTCTGATGGTGGAGCTTACCGTACCATGGGAGGAAGGCATGGAGGCTGCCAACGAGCGGAAACATGCAAAGTACGCAGACTTGGCAGCAGAATGCAGAGAGGCTGGCTGGAAAACCATCATGTGGCCCATTGAAGTAGGATGCAGGGGCTTCGTCGGGTCCTCAACTGTACGCCTGCTCCGCGGCATGAGATGCACAGGAGCAGGGCGCAGTAAAGCCATTAGGGAACTGGCAGAAGAGGCAGAGAAGGGCAGCTTTTGGCTGTGGCTCAAGAGGAAAGAGGTAAGTTGGGGGCCAAACAAAGAATGACCCATTCACTTCAACGTAAATTTACACACAATAGTAAACACAATAGGCATAACTAAATAATAAACTCAACTCTAGCCATAAAAAGGCCATCAACCTAAGTTAGGAATCTAGCTAAAATCAAGTTAGGAATTTAGTTACAAACCTAATAGTAATTACTTAACAAGACACACCCTGGGGCATGATCAGCCCCAGTGGGACCTTCCTAGCGGGAGAGTGTCTAGTGATAATGGCCGAAACACTTGATGACCCCAAGGTCCACTACTGAAGATGTGTCTTTCAAAAGGATAGTCAATTTATAAAAAACAACCAGCTAATCAGGAAAAGCCATAGTCCAGCAAGACAACCCATTCCACTCGATACCTTACCTCAGCCCCTTGCCTTACCCTGAACACTGGAGGAGGTGCGTCAGGCAGCAATGCCCAGCAGGTAGACCACCAGCCTGTATTTTCATATGTTCAACCTGGAGGCATCTAGTGACTACTGTGAAAGGGCAGTTGGTGTCCAGGGAAGACTGGAGGACATCCAGGAGAGACTGGATGACTGCAGGAAAGTCTGCATCGTCCCAAGCGGGACACCCTAAACAAAGCGAAGCAAAGAGAAACAACCCGATGGCCCTCCGAGAACAACCCATTCCACTCGATACCTTACCTCAGCCCCTTGCCTTACCCTGAACACTGGAGGAGGTGCGTCAGGCAGCAATGCCCAGCAGGTAGACCACCAGCCTGTATTTTCATATGTTCAACCTGGAGGCATCTAGTGACTACTGTGAAAGGGCAGTTGGTGTCCAGGGAAGACTGGAGGACATCCAGGAGAGACTGGATGACTGCAGGAAAGTCTGCATCGTCCCAAGCGGGACACCCTAAACAAAGCGAAGCAAAGAGAAACAACCCGATGGCCCTCCGAGAGGCGGGATGGAAGAAGGACCAACCCGGACTGATTTTTCGGTAACGACTGAAACGGACACAGGCAATGATGACCAGGTAATGCGAAAATGCAGGTGTGGCTGGGAGAAACTGACAACTTTCAGGGGCCTAGGATCCACCAGGGAATACAGTAGTGCGAAGTGAGTGGCCAGCAGCAACATTGCACTGCATCTGCAGGTCAGACAATAGGATCCCAAAGCCAGGTCGCTAACCACAGTGCTGAGGGTTCCAACGCTGCTGAAGGAAGGCAAGTGGAGGACACAGAAGGACCCCTGGAGGATACCTATTCCTCTGAGAGTGGCACCGAGGAGAACACCCCCAGAACACCAACGAACCTCAGAACACAGCAAAACCCCCATAACCAGGAACCAGGACAGAAAGGAAAGAACCAGTCCGTCGGCAGCCAGTCAAATGGCCCAAAGCCAACGAGGTCGCAGTATGGCAGCAGCTGGATAAAGATCTGGTTAGCATCTTAGAGCACTCACTACGTGGCCAAATAGAGACCAAGCTAAACTGCTTTGGAGACTTTCTCTATGAGGAGTGTATAGGCAGGTTTGGAGTAATGGCTGTAAGACAGAACGTTGGGCCAAGGCAGAAGGGAAGAAGGGAGAGGGAGATCAAGCAGTTGGTGAAGAGGCGACGTCAGAAAGCAGTGGAGGAAAGCAGGCGAAGAGGAGAAGGAGGGCCTGAAACCACTGTGGGAGGAGGTGAAGAACCATGCCAGCCTGTGGAGGGCAGAGCGCATCAGCAAACGCAGGAGGCAGAAAGAAAATGAGAGGAGCAACTTCTTCAAAAACCCCTTCAAGCACGCAAGACAGCTTCTAGAGGACAACAGCAGTGGGAAGCTGGGGATCACAAAATCGGAGCTGGAGGAACACTTCAGGGAGCAATACAGCAACCCAGCAAGATCAACTCCCCTGGGATCTCCTGGTTAAGTTCCTCGCCCAGCCCCCCCACCTTTCCCATTCGATGCTGCTCTCCCTAAGCTCAGTGAGGTCGCAGAAGTTGTCCAGAAAGCAAGAGCAGCCTCAGCCCCAGGCCCCAATGGGATACCTTACAAACTGTGCAAGTACTGCCCAAGGGTCCAAAAACTTCTGTGGAACCTCATGGGGGTGGCATAGAAGAACCACGTCATCCCCTCAGAGTGGCAAAGGGCAGTCACAGTTTTTATTTCAAAGGAGGCAATATCCACCACAATCAGTCAGTTCAGGAGCATCGCGCTCCTGAATGTCGAAGGAAAGATCTTTTTCTCCGCACTGGCCAAGAGGCTGATCAGCTACCTGACAAGCAACATTGACACCAGCTGCCAGAAA